AAGGTGGAGCATCTCAAGTACTATCAATAATAGAAATTAAGCCCGATCAGCTGATGAGACAGTTGCTGGACAATGGATTAGATTTGTACGAGGCTTATAACAGAGCATTGACAGCGGCTGATGATGAACTACTATGTTTACTAAACATCATCAGATCGTTAGACACACATTTGGCTATATGGTCGTTAATGACCTTCGATACGATGCTTACGACTTATGTTCGAACATGGTTTTCTACTGTGATCATAACAATCCGAACATCATCTATATTCTCCTGTAATCAGAACCACATGTCTACTCAAGCTTCATTCTTAGAATGTGTGTACTATCATGAAACTCTATTTACATTGAAATGCACACCTTTATCACCTACCGATAGTAACGAAGGAGATGATGATGACGATGATGACGATGATGACGATGGCAACGATAAGAGTGATGATAGGAAAATGACCTGTCTTATCGAGTTCTAAGAGGAAGTGGTTGACCTTAAATGTAACCACTCGGGGTATGGCAATAAAAAAAAGGGATGATAATGAAGACGAAAAACTTGAAGATATGAAAAACTATGAACGCAGCCAGTTTTCTTTTGTCGATGTGTTAGGTAATGTTCGATCTGGAGTTAGTATTGAAGCCAAGCTTTGCGGAAAGGTAGGCGCTTTTAAATGGCCGACTTATATAAAATTGAGTACTTATTCAAGAAATTCTAACAAAATCAAGATCTATCTCGGCCCTCTTATGGATTCGATATATATATATATACACCGAAGCTTCTAACATTCGGAATCCTTAACGAGGTTTTTGTTTTTATTTTAACATCGCTTTCTGGAAAATCTTTTGCGGAATTAGATGATGTCACGGAAAGGGAAAAACAGTTGGCCATCGAGGGTTTACAGGCTATGCATGCAAGGGGAGTGATTCATGGGATGTTAGGTTGGAGAATATAATGGTAAATAAGAGTGAATCGATGATTAAGTTACGTGTGCAGTGGGTTGATTTGCGTGGGTCGTAATTCCAAAGGTTTAATAGAGAGTTGATCGATTGAGAAGTTTACTTGGTATGACAGGTAAGTTTTATGAGTGCATTTAGATTTCGCTTTAATTTATGACATTAAAACTTTTGAATTTTATTTAAGGACACAGCAATCCAAGAAAGTGATGTATGTGAAAATAATTACAAGTATTGTTCCGCAAAAATCGGGTCATATTTGATTCGAATGCAAAAGTCTTTTGACACTCGAATCCAACCGAATCGAATTATTTGCCGAACATTAATTACAAGTCATGTTAGCTATAATTTATCATGCCTATGTAAGCTTCATATTCAAATATGATATACGTTGTGACTTTTAACCAGTGTGGTTCGGGTATGCGTACGTGCATCGGAATAATAATAAAATGGCTATATGCCGGTTTTCATATGCATAATAGTGTTTATTGCACGGACATGTATTAATTAACCCACAGATCGAAATTTTTCTTAAGAAAAAGTGATTGGCGTGACAAATTGTCGCGCACGTAATTTTTTTTTTTTTCATATGAAATTTTAATAATAGAAAATCGATTTATATAACGTTATTCTTGGCAAAATTCATTAATTCAAATTTGAATCATGATATTCTTTGTATAACTTGATAAAATCGCTATATATCACTAAATAGTTATAATTCTTATACATCACACATATTCATTAATCGCTATAAATTATTAGTAAATATGCAAGGACTCGTTATCACAATACAAGTTTATTAAGTCTTTGCCTATAACCATCCTGGATATGATAACGCATTTATTGAAATTTGCTGTCTTAGCTCGAACAATGCCAATTCGAAGCTAGCCTTTAATAATATCGACCTAACTCGAAATGTTATTAATGGGATGATTTTCTGAAATTATAATTAACGAAATTTTTCTGGTCATGTAACATAAATAAAAATATCCAGATGTAAATAGATGCTATAGAAAAAATTTTATTTTTATATGAATTTTTTTTTATAAATTAACATGACAATATTTCGAATATTTAATGTAATTACAAGTGACGAAAATAAAAAAAAAAAAAATTTTATCCTAATCTAACTCAAAATTTTAAAGTTTTACGGAATTTTGTAAACTATACGGTGATTAATCCTTCGCGAGCCATGTTGGATAAACTTTATTACCATGAACAATTTTAAATTCAATGATAATAGCCATGGAGTCATTACCCAACCATGATGATACGCATAGCAAGAATTAAAATAAGAACATCAAAAAGAGTCGCGAGTAAGGAGTTGTCGTTATCATATTTTCTAGATATAATTTTTATTATTTTTTTTTTATTTCTCTCATTCGGTTTATTAATCTCGGAGTTTTCTTGATTACGATAGGTTGATTATAATATTCAAAGTAGAGAACGTAAACCTTGTATATTAGGAAATTCATAAAGTAGATCGATATCATGCATACAATCTGGCCTCACTAGCTTGCTAACAACAAATGATTAGTCAAGAATATCGAAGAATGATAACAATGATATCAATACTTTGTTTCTTTCCTAATACATCACTAGGTGACGGTGATGATGGTAATGGTGATGATTTATTCCATAAGTCCCGAACGATTTACTGTTATCCTATAAAAAAGCAAATTCGTTTAGAATCATTTCATGGTAAGAATAATCAGACAAAAATTAAACTAAAATGGCGGATGCAGGAAAATTCCAGTAGTAAACTTTAGTTAAGGCAAAGATTGATATCGAGTAGCGGTAAAGTTATAAGTTTCAGTTAAGAGTAAAGAAGTTACATGGTCGATCCTCATTTCAGAGTCAACGGATCTTTATCGAAAAACTCTAACTGGAAAATTCCATAAGGTCTACCAAACCACGCACCCCCATCCGTCTAAATTTTTTATCCCACTATACTTACTTTTTTTTATTGTTTAGGAGTTCCTGATGTGCCTTCTGGAGTAACCACTTTTCACAGACATCCCTAGGTGACGTTGATGATGGTAATGGGTGATATGGCTTGAACGATCTTGCCGTTATTCTATATAAAAAAGCAAATTCATTTGAGAATCATTTCATAGTAAGAACAATCAGACAAAAATTAAACTAAGATGACGGATGCAGGAAAATTCCAGTAGTAAACTTTAGTTAAGGCAAAGATTGATATCGAGTACCGGTAAAGTTATAAGTTTCAGTTAAGAGTAAAGAAGTTACATGGTCGATCCTCATTTCAGAGTCAACGGATCTTTATCGAAAAACTCTAACTGGAAAGTTCCATAAGGTCTACCAAACCACGCACCCCCCATCCGTCTAAATTTTTCATCCCACTATACTTACTTTGTTTAGGAGTTCCTGAAACACAACGAATGTGTGATGTGCCTTCTGAAGAGAGTGATCACTTTTCCACAGACATCACCAAATGACAGTGATGATGGTAATGATGATGGTAGCATCACTTTATTCCATAAGACCCGAACGATTTTACTGTTATCCTATAAAAAAGCAAATTCATTTGAGAATCATTTCATAGTAAGAATAATCAGACAAAAATTAAACAGATGGCGGATGCAGGAAAATTCCAGTAGTAAACTTTAGTTAAGGCAAAGATTGATATCGAGTACCGGTAAAGTTATAAGTTTCAGTTAAGAGTAAAGAAGTTACATGGTCGATCCTCATTTCAGAGTCAACGGATCTTTATCGAAAAACTCTAACTGGAAAGTTCCATAAGGTCTACCAAAACCCGCAACCCCCATCCGTCTAAATTTTTTACCCCACTATACTTACTTTGTTTAGGAATTCCTGAGCAACACAACGAAGCCTTCTTTTTCTCTATCAATATCTGTTGAAACAAAATGCTGGAATGATCACTTTTTACAGAAGAACTCGAGGTATTTTTCGTATGGAAAGTTTTTAGTTTCTCGTTGATAAGCAATAGAGGTATAGAGGTATAGAGGTAGACATGATAAAAAAGAAGTATTAGAATATACGATATTAAAAAATTTTACAGCGTTATTCACAGGAACCACTTACCCAAGAAACAAATAAACTTTGATGGCGAATATCGTTGGTGGGTCACTAATATATTGATCGGCAACGTGACATGATTCCGTTTTTAGCGTAATAGCGTAGGGGAATTAACCCGATATAGTAGGTAGTTCGTTAGCAAACAACAGTTAAAAAATTATTCGCATTTTCATAATATCCATTATTATTATATACACAAATTATTGGGGAATCGTATTCATCAATCAATACAAAACATTGTTTTTTATAGTGACGTCGCAAAGCAGACACTATTTCACTATTTCTGATTCAGTTCGTGGGAATGTAAATTGTCAATAAGATAGTGGTGTTCATCATAAATTCTAGCTATAAGTACTCTTGATCATATAATTATTTTCTTTCCGTGTTCCAGCGTTTAGATCCTATATGTGATATACTGTGAATAAAAAAAAAAAAAAAAATCGTAATAAATAAAATTTAACAATTGATCAAACCTTAAGAGATATATGAAAATTTCTAATTCAGCTGAAATTCAGGTTTCGAAAAGTTGCCTGGCAGATAACATTTTCTTCTTGGGAATATGGTATTTTAAAGAAGCGATTTAACATGGACAAATTTGTTTACTTTCCAAATCGGCGAGGCGAAGAATAAGTGATACAAGATCGAACTCTCAATAACTCATTCATGTATCTTTAACAACAGCAACATTTGCACCAAAGACAACTCTGGCATTATTGTCTATATAAAAAAAATTTTAATTCGTGATTTCAAGACTGAAAATACGAGATAAAAAAATTAATATTCACGAGTCTTGGTATACGGTTCAAAAATCAGAACCAACATGACAACTTTTTGATTTTCCATGTGAAAAAGAAATTTTAACATAATTTATGCGAACAATTTGAGCTTGAATTTGGAAAGCCCGAGAAACAATTAAAATACATCATAGTGAGAAATTTAAGTGACTGTCCATCATCTAAAATTTTCAATTTCATAAGAATATGGACGAGCTTCTGGTTCCCGTCAGATAATCCGTGAATATCTCCCGTTAAAAATCAAGAAACATATAGCATTTTTAATTCGAGCCAAGCCAAAAGGTTTGACTTGTCAACTAAATCAGCAATTATTCCAACTCTATAAATTTATTTAGCATGTAACAAGTTGATTTATTTAACGGTTCGAAAAAGATAAAATGCGCTGTGCTCATATTGCTAAAAGAATCAAATAATTATGAATTGAAAGTCATAGATCGTTCGTTATTGTCCTTTTGCGTATAATTAAAAGGTTTTATGGAAATTTCCACAAAATATAGTTGAAACGCTGAATCCAAAGCCATTGATTGTATAAAACACAATGATCGTATTTTTATTTTTTTTTCTTGAGGGATAATTGCGAAATTCGGAGTAAAAATTTGTGGCAAATGTTATTTGTGGCTCAGCGTCAAATAAAAAAAAAAAAATCCGAATAAACAGAAAACAAACATTGTTTACACTTCAAACGTTTCAAAATTATTTATAAAGAGAAATCTACTAGAAAAATAAATGATTTATTTGATCAATTGGGGAATGTGTGTAACCACCACCGAGTGAAACCTTTTAACCCTTACATACATACGTCACTAACCATACATTCACAATGTTCAGATAACCATTTTTTGAATTTTTAGTTCATGTGCTTCCAATTACAATTGATATTACTTCAGAACAATAGTTGTAATGATCTGAGATTGTGTGTAAAAATAATTTGTTTGACCGATTCTTTTAACCATATACAACAATAGAGATAGTCCCCAATTCAAAGTAATTATAAAAACCATAGGTTTTTGCTATCATGTTTAAAATGCTCTAATTCCACAATTGATCCTTGTAAACTTATAAATAACTAAAGAAAAAAGATATCTTTCCAGTGCAATTTTTTTTTCAATTTTTCAATTTTTTTTTTTTTTTAAAAAAAAAAAATTAGTCCATTTCTAAAAAAGACAGAATTTTTTTATATTCGTTTATTTTAATATTTGTAGTATCAATAAATTTACGATGGCGATGGCAAAGGATGTTAATGTCCCAACAATAACAATAACATTATCATCACAACGGAAATCGGATGTTTTATTAGAACAAGATGCCGGATTTAATCCACCAGAATACACATCTTCAAATACACGAGAAGAATTCCACACAAATTCAACGATTGCAACGACGAACGAAGATAATAATTCATCATTGACTTATCCATCACGGGCTCATATACCTCCATCTTCCACACCAACAGACTTACCAACATATGATCATGCTACAGTTGACATGCCACCAAGTTATCAATCTCCAAAATCACCGACTCTTGAAGTTTATCATGTTCTTTATGATCAAGAACCTTGGCCAATAACTAAAAAGTTATATTTCCTTGGATTTATCTTTTGGCCTCTTTGGTTTATTGGAATGGGATTCAGTATGTTTGGTCGTCATAATAGCACAAAGATGTGGGGACGTCGTTGTGCTTGGAATTCTCTTGTAATAATCGTCTTATTCATTTATCTTGTTGTTGCTTACACAAGAACTGGCGGTCGATTAAGATAATTTCCTAAAAAATGAAAACGGACATTTTTGATTTTTTTTTATAAAAAATATTTGTGAATATTATTTCTTTTTCAATTATTGTATTTTTATTGACAAAAAAATCTAGGCATAGTTTTTAAATTGTAATCTACAAACGAACAAACAATTAATGCACTTTTCGTAAAATCATTTTATTTTAATTTGTTCCTTAATTTCTTATTTCTTTTTTCTTTATTTTTATTTATAAAAAAATCCATTTGTACATAAATTTTTTTTTTTTTAATCTTAAGTACGCATTTACCAATTTTGTTTTTAATATTTATAATTTTTTTTTATTATCCTTTGATAGGAAATAGAAAAAAAAAAAAAAAAAAAACACCCCATTTCTCTTCTTAATTTAGCTTTTTTAAATACAAAAAAAAAAAAAAAATTGATATTTACGAAGAAATTAATTTTATTAATCCAAGATACTTTTCATTTCTCCATAATCCATGGTTTTGTTTACAATCAATTGTGTGGATCAATGTTAGAGCTAATTAAGGGTTATTGAGAAATGTCTTTTCTTCTATTTATTAAAAGAAATGATTATGAATTTTGATAATCTGTAATCTTATTTTTTTTTTTTTTTTAGTATAATTCCTTTTTTTTTTTTTTTTTTTTTTTTTTTTTTCTTGTATTTTTAAGATAGGAGGAAAAGAAAATAATAATAATAATAATAATAATGAATATAATCTCTCTTACTGAACATGGTTTTTCTCGTGAATTTTTTTTTTCAAATTTTTTATTTTAAGAACATCAGTGATTTATTTGTAAAAGCTTTGATTTTTTTCCAACAAGCCCCTCGATTCAACCTTTTTTTTCTCCATAAACGGCATTTTCAATAAATTGAAATGCGCTTCGTTTTCAAGCAATTATTTGTTAACCAAACTTGGTAATTCATTTTTATAAATATATTTCTGGTTACTAATGTGTTCGTTGACAATGAGCACTTTTTTGGTGAATAATAAGATCGTTTCTGACATGGAATGTCATTTTAGGCGTCGATAAAGTATTTCTGCTTATTCACCTTTGTTTCGCATTCTGATACCTAATTATTTCAATGCAACGCACACGACATTATCAAACAAAGGATAAGCGTAACCGTAACAAAAAGTATCAAATACAAGATGATGATTGTTATCATTTTTTGCCATAGCATCTGAAGTGGCGCGAATGGCGTTTCTGTGACCAAGACTTGGGGTTTAACGGCTTATTCTGTTGAAATCACATTGGGAATTACAAGCCAGTAGTTAACTACACGTTGATTAACTTTGGGAGTGTCAAAACTTCGAGAAATGAAAAAGATATATATATGTATATATAATTCCTGGATAAAAATTCAACTATTTAACCGAGGAATTTAAGCTCGAAAATTTATCCGTTATACGCGTTCC